AAGGCAGGTAGTAAGAACAAAACTGGGATAGTTGAGCATTTAACCAAGAACTGGATTGGTAAAGTAATTGTGAATTCAGTAAAAAGGATCAAAGCACACAGAACCATGTAATTTTAGGATTAGACGTGACCTCAAAAAACTGCTCTAGTCCTCTGCCGTTAAAACAGGTAACAGTACAATCCTACTTTATACACCTCTTATGTAAAAGTTTGTGTTCCAAGTTTAATTTGGGCTATCACAGCAGGAACTGCCTGGTATTACATTATTGTCTGGCAGTTCCTCATCTGTGTGACAAGAATTCTGCATATCTTACTGTCTTTGATATATAATTCTGACCACTGGAGCATAAATGTTGACAGGTCCTTTTTTTTTTGTAGTCACCCACTCTATCCACTCTACCCCTTTCTCTTACTCAACGAAGATTTTTCTGTTTTAAAAAAATCTCCATATACTACACACCCTTCAATAAACTCTTATTTCTCTTCCACTCACCACCATTTATTCCCCTCTGTTTTCTCAGCTCCTACTCACTCACCATTTATTATAATCTAGTGCAGTGGTCGGCAAACTCAGTCCACAGAGCCAAATATCAACAGTACAACTATTGAAATTCCTTTTGAGAGCCAAATTTTTTAAACTTAAACTATATAGGTAGGTACATTGTTATTAACTTAATTAGGGTACTCTTTTTTTGTATATTTTATTGATTTTTCACAGAGAGAAAGGGAGAGAGATAGAGTTAGAAACATCGATGAGAGAGAAACATCGATCAGCTGCCTCCTGCACATCCACCACCGGGGATGTGCCCGCAACCCAGGTACATACCCTTGACCAGAATCGAACCTGGGACCTCTCAGTCCGCAGGCTGACGCTCTATCCACTGAGCCAAACCGGTTTCGGCTAATTAGGGTACTCTTAAGGCTTAGGAAGAGCCACACTCAAGGGGCCAAAGAGCCGCATGTGGCTCGCGAGCCGCAGTTTGCCGACCATGGATCTAGTGGATCCCTCCCCACAAGTTGCCAAATGCAATTGCCTTATTTGGGGGGGGGGCGGGGGAGGGACACCTAATTCTTCCTGAACCTGAAGTTTAATTTACTCATGACCCATCGTCATCTTGAACTGCTCGCCTCTCTGCTTCCTCAGTTTGTTTTTCCCTGTTCCTCCAACTATTCCATCCCAGGCTCTTGATAGTCACCTCCTCCTCTTCTGCCAACCACTCTTACCTATTCATGCTAACTATTCATCCAGGGTTTTCTAGGGTGATCTCATTGCCCACCCCACCATCCTCCGTTAGAAGGACTTCCAAATCCAGACCTACATTTCTCCCCAGGCCTCTTCTGAGCTGCACATCTCTGTTCTCATCTCTCCACTGATTACTCTTCCCTGCCTGGAAGTCCAGAGGTTCTTCAAATGTAGCATCTTAAACACTGAGCTCACCGTCTTCTCTCCTCAGCTCCCTCCTCTCTCATATTGGAAGGCTCCCCTCCCCCCTGCCCTCCATCAGCCTTTAGGACTGGGCTTCCCAACTCAGGTCAGCCTTCCTCAGGTCTGCCATCTCTGTGCCTCCTGCCTGCCTACCCCATTGTATCTTCCTACTTGTTCGCCATACCCAGTCCTTTAACTACTGCAGCTGTCGCCAATCAAATCTAAGAACTAGAAGGACTTGTTCTGTATTTCATGATAGTCTAAACTTGAAGTCCTACCAACACATGTTATACTTTGTCTATAGGCAAAACAAATTGTTCCTCCAGTGAGAAAAGGCTCACATAGTTTATGATCAGAAAATTAATAGCCCAAGTTAAATCCTTTGGAGATTAAAGATGCATCAAGACTTATTTTGGGGGGAATAAACAGCATTGTTTGATGATGATGTATCCTATATTGTTTTAACACCAGAGAAAACATTTTCAAAGAATAAAGCTACTTTTTATTAAACCTTATGTTTCCACACAAAAAATCTGAAATTAATTGCATTTTGCCATTTTCCAAAGTCAACTCAATTTATTAGTCATCCTGGGTAGAGAGAGGAATTTCTGTAGCAGAAATTTCACAGTCCTGGGAGAGATCCATAGTCCCATAAAAATATATTTGAAAGTAAATGCCACCAAAAATGTATATAATTCCAGATATTTATAAGATAGCATAAAGTAAACCTTTAAGAAAGTCACGTTTGAGTAACGCATTGGCAGTAGACTCTAAGGGAAATAGATCTATATTATCTTAGTTTGAAATTTAATGTTAGATGTTGCATCTCTAAAGACCAGAACTTATCAATTATATACTAAGATCTTGAGCTAAAATTTAGTTTAAATCTGTTAAACACCTAAGTAATTAATATTTAATCCTTGGATGTGGCAGATTCTGTGCTTTTTCTGCAAACCATGACTGCAAAGATCGTAACTACAGTAACTAAAACTGCTCTTTGGCCCGGCCAGCAAAACCCCTCTGAGCCTTGGTTTCCCCGCCTGTAAAATGGGGATAATGAGAGTGCCACTCCAAAGGTGGTTGTGAGGACTCCATGAATTAGGACAAGTAGAGCATATGGTGAGCCTGCAGCACGCGCTGTTATTATTTCTGACCTCGCAGATAGCAGCAAAGCAGCCTCTTTGTGGGTTGCAGCAACCTGCAGGGATCACAGCTGCTTTAATATTGATATTTTCACAGACAGGGGGGTGGAAATGTTGCTAGAAAAAAATTAACATTCATTCATGCTGTTTAAATATTTTATTCCTGGGAGCGCCATGATGTCGTAACACAAGACGGAACCCAGGGCAACTGCAGTCATTCTATGAATTAATAGGAACGCGTGTATTATTTACCAGAAGCCTCAGAAGTGGATTTACAAAAAGTCATACATGACTTTTAGAACTGATGACTACCATCACCCCTCACCCCCCACCCCACCAAAAAGTTAATAATCGGCCTACTCATCCATTTAGCTAACATGCTCTGTGCTGTGAGGAAGAGCTTTCTTCTCTCCATCAGGGGGAACTGTGGTCCCTGTATCAGGTGAGAAATGGAGGCCTGTGGTTGAGCAGAGAGCAAGCCAAGAGCGATATTTCTGTGAACAGTTGAGGAGTCGTACACAGGCTGGGACACCCAGTGTTTTGATGGCCGCCTTCGGGAAGGCAAAGCGACAGTTGTCCAGTCGCTTTTGTAGCACTGCTTGGCTGAATCAAAGGCCTAGCAAATAAGTCTTATAAGGAAGAGATAAAATAATTGGTTTAATTTACCAGGAAAAGAAGACTAAGGGATGACCTAAGTTTCCGTTGTAGATGAAAGGGTTTTTAAATGAAGAAGGTTTGGTCTTGCTGCTTTCCGTGCCCACAGAGGATTAAAGTAGAAAACAAACCAACAGGCGAAACCTTGAATGGAAAAGGAGACATTGTTGACTTAGAGCTCCATAAGTAAAATGCAGTCCTAAAAGTAGTGAAGTGCCTAATTCTAGTAATTTTTAAGAAAAAACAACAACAACTATTGTTGGTATTTTTACTTGTCTGATGTCAGAAAAGTAAACATTCGTATTTATTTTTTTAAATATATTTTATTGATTTTTTACAGAGAGGGATTAAGAGTTAGAAACATCGATGAGAGAGAAACATCCATCAGCTGCCTCCTGCACATCCCCTACTAGGGATGTGCCCACAACCAAGGTACATGCCCTTGATCAGAATCGAACCTGGGACCCTTCAGTCCACAGACCGACGCTCTAGCCACTGAGCCAAACCGGTTCGGGCAACATTCATATTTATTATTTCAGTCCATGGATATCATCTCTTTGGGGGGGAAAAGGAGTTGCTTCAGATTATCTTAAGGACCTCAAAAAAGAAAAAAAAGATAAAAAAATAAAATTGAGAACGCAGACTTACATTAGAGTTTTCTTGGGGATAGGAAAATTTAGACATGTAGTCAATATTTATTGAACTTCAGTTTATTAGAGTTAGGTCTGTTTTTTGGCATTTTGTTCATCATAAATTCGAGGTGTAATTTTCTTAATAATTCCCTAAATACTGGGGACAGGGTGGCAAACAGCCGATACGGATAAGGACCCTGTCCTCATAGAGCTGATGCCCAGTGGGGAGACAGGAGACACCTAAGTGCATGAACAGGAAGTATGACAGATGATAAAACGCTCACAGTGGCCACCTGAAGTCAGGGGTGTGATAGGATGACTGGGGGGCTCTGTTAGATCAAAGTGGTCAGGGAAGACCTCTCAGAGGAGGTGACGGTTAAGCTGAGAGCTGAGTGACTAGAAGGGGCCATTGTGCAAAGATCAGAGAAAGACCCCTCCAGGCAGCACAGTTAGTGCAAAGGCCCAAAGGCAGGAGCAATCTGAGGACTGCCAACACTAGGGAGGAAAAAAGGCCATTTGTGGCTGGCGCAGGTTGGACCATCCCAGAGTGAGTTGTACAAGATGAGGTGAAAGAAGTTGGCTGGGGCTTTTATATCCAGGAAGGTGTGTGTGTGTGTACGTATTCATATCTGTGTACGTGTGTGTGTGTGTGTGTGTGTGTGTGTGTGTGTATTGATTTCAGGGAGGAAGGGGGAGAGAGAGAAACTCAATGATGAGAGAGGATCATCAATTGGCTGCCTCCTGCACGACCCCCACTGGAGATCAAGCCCATAACCTGGGCATGTGCCCTGACTGGGAATTGAACCGTGACCTCCTGGTTCATAGATCAACGCGCAGCCACTAAGCCATGCCAGCCGGGCTCGATTCTATTCTTGATGTGATAGGAAACCATGGAATTACTAGATCTAACGTATTTTTACTACATGTATCATCCTGGATGAATCTCATAACCATAATACACAGTGAAAAAAAGCCAGTGAAAGCAGTATGACCCCCCTTGTATAAAGTCCAAACAGATGCAAAAATAAGCAGGGTGTCATTTAGGGATACATAGAAATGTGACAAACTATCAGGAAAGTGAGTGTTAACCACAAAGCTCAGTACAGTGGTTCCTGGGGAGGTCATAGGAGAGAGGAGTGCAAGTGGGGAGTGGCATACAACAGACTTCAAAGGTATTGGTCGGTTCTATTCCTTGGTTTAGGGCCATACAAATGCTTGTCATATCACCATAAATACCTTATATGTATGTCACATGTATGCTCTGGGAATAAAATACTATCCAGATTGTGTTTTTAAATAATTCCTCTGGCTGCTGAATGGCTGGATTGCAGAGGGGCAAGAGTAAAATCAGAGGTGAATGAGAAGCCGTTGCAGAGGTCACAGGGTGGCCCAGAGTGAGGCGGAGGGAGCAGTGTGGTGGTGTCACCTGCTGAGGGCGTGAGGACACCAGGAAGAACAGGTAGGGAAGGCAGGCAATCCAGGGTTTAGTGTTGCCCATACTCGTGGGATATGGCTATTAAACGTGCATGTGGAGATGTCTAGTAGAGAGTTGGATAAACGAGACTGGGGTTGTAGGGAGGTCGGGACTGGAGATCTAGATCTGGGCACCACTGGCATGTAGGTGATGCCAGAGCTCTGGGCCTGGAAGCTGAGGTTTTAAGTATTGTTCTCCAATATTTATAATGGTCCTTAGGGACTCCAGTCACCTCACCAACTCATAACTTGCAAAGTCAAAGAAGTGCGACATTCTGAAGACTTTGTATAGAATAATTTATACTTTACTCTTTTTGTTTTATTTCTAGATTTTAGAAATATTGATTTTTTGCATTCTCCTATATTTCTATAAAAGAAAAGGAATGAAGCACATTGTAATTCTACTAACGCTGGTGGCACTTCTAGGTAAGGATATATTTTGTTTCCTAATTTTCTAATCTAGCCATGCTAAGTCAAAAAGATTTGAAGGGAAATATTTGAGCGTTCTATTCCTTTCTCATTGTTTCTACTTTTCAACTCTGATTTATAGAAAGAAACTGAGTCTCAATTATGCAAACTAGACTTTGTATGTCTATTACTAAAATTGATATATATTTAATTCTTTAAAAAATATATTTAGCCCTAACCGGTTTGGCTCAGTGGATAGAGCATCAGCCTGCGGACTGAAAGGTCCCAGGTTCGATTCCGGTCAAGGGCATGTACCTTGGTTGCGGCCACATCCCCAGTAGGGGGTGTGCAGGAGGCAGCTGATCGATGTTTCTCTCATCGATGTTTCTAACTCTCTATCCCTCTCCCTTCCTCTCTGTAAAAAATCAATAAAATCAATAAAAAGATATATATATGTATGTGTGTGTGTGTGTGTGTGTGTGTGTGTGTATAGCAAGAATTACTATTTGGTCATTTTATTTGCTCTCTTAATAACTTTAGGATTTTTTTTTCTTAGAAATAATTTTAAAATGTAAAGATAGAAAAATAACTACAAAAATATTTCCCACATGTTAAGAATGACTTGGAGTTGAGTGTTGAGGTTACAAGTGATTTTCATTTTTCTTTTCAAGCTTTTCTGCATTTTCCAAATTTTCTTTAATGAACATGTACATTTGTATAGTTTTTAAAATTTATTCATAATCCCACTACTTAGAGTATGTAGGTTCTTCTAATCTTTTTTCTGTGTACACATAAGTACTTTCTATTTTTATGTATACAATATTAGATTGAGACTGCATTACAATTTTGTATTTCCATCTGTCCTCATCAACCACCCTCCCCCCACCAAAAAAAAAAAAGAAATCTTAGAAGAACTTGATACCAGTCTAGAAATAACTTTCAGAGTTATAATAAATAGTGATTAATCAGTTGGTGATTGTGCATGCTTTGAAAATGCAATGATCAACTCGAGCAACTAATAGTTGGTTTAGCTGTTTAGTAAAGAATCCCAGTTTTGTTTGTATCTTGTGTTTAAGTATAATTTAACGTCAGGTGGTGGTTGAATTAGATGATTTTTTAAAAGTCGGTGACCTTTAAGGGCGTTGGCAGTCCGAGGTTCTGCGGCTCCTGGAACAGTGTGTTCAGCTGTTTCTCCATCAACGATCCCTTTGGGAATCCAAGCTGTTCCGACTACAGGACCGTAATCACATTGTGCTCTAATTACAGGCAACGTGTTTAGGAGAAATCAAGGTCCCTCAAGAGCAAACTTTACAAACTTAAACCATCAAGTAACACACATCTCGAGAGATACTTGACATTCCCTAGATTCGCTGAGATAGGACTGTTGTCGTATTCTGTAGGAAATATGTAGAAGGTCAGGTCAAAAGACATTTTAAAATGAAGAGGTGCCCAGTTGTAAGGGCCTCTTTGTTCGGATTGGGGGTTTGCTTTTAGAACTTATTACCGGTCTCCTCTGTTAAGTGTGACTTATAACAGAAAGAAAATGCCTAATTTGGAAGTGTGGCCTAGTACCCTTCAAGTTAAAGTATACTTTCAGTTTTTGGAAAAGGAGATTCTGGAAGGCTTTTCCTAGTTGGAACACTTCACCTGCTATTTAAACACATCATATATATATATATTCTTTTCAGAAGCTAAAAGGAGTAAAGTTCAGATATATTATGACCAGATATCAACAGCAACAAAAACAGTATTTCTCCTTCCCATTGCCTTTGACTTATATTTGATTTCATGTAAAACTTTTTTATTTTTCTGTAGGTTTCAGCTAATTTATGGAATCATAGGTAACATAATTTCAAGAGATCTGGGCAAAAGGGAAGCCCTGTCTTCTTCCTACAGAAACATGATGTTTCCAGAAAATGCGTCGTTGCTTTCACGTTGATAGAACCTTGTCAAGTCACTTTTTCTTCATTGCTGTTTGGAAGCTAAGAAAGACGTGTTCCCTTAAGGGACAGGTTCCTCTTTAGCGTAGACAGTGTGTAGACATGCTTGTGTAAATCCTAGATTTATGGTTGACTCTGAGAAATGAATACTCAGGTCCTGCTTCCTGTTAGTGTCATCTGCAAAAAATATTTTCATGAAACTTGTAGGCATTAACAAAGGGTTCACGCATAGACCAAGTACAACTCTCAGTAAACTCACAGAGTGAGTTGCTTTTCAGTTTTCAGTCTTCTCATCTATTTGGCTTTACATTGTTTTCAGTATAGCTTCATAGTTATTTTCCCATTAACGTCACGTGGACAATCTGACTTTTCTTATCTCCTCCCTTCGTTGTTTTCTCCTTTCCCGTCTCTTAGTAATTACAACCTCTATAGCATCCTTTCAACAGTTACGGCTGGGAAATAAGCATCTTGCTCCAAAGATAAAAGCACAGTCACACAGCAGATCTTCAGCTGATAGAAGCCAATCTGAAGTCCAGCCCAGCTTAAACACCAGGGCTACTGCTTAGCTAGAGTCTTCATGCTTAAAGCATCATGGGGGTATTTACCACTGTGCCATGTACACTGAAGATATTTGTCATTCTGTCTCAGGTATGTATTTTATTTGTCTTCTTTGTTTTGTTTTTCAGCCTCATTGACTGTTATTTCAGTGAAAGCTGTCTCAGGCATGATCGCTTTTTCTGTGACGGATAAAATGCAGCTAACGTATCCCATCTTCTATATCATGTTGATCATCATGATAGCATCTTGTGTTTTCCAAGTCAAGTAAGTTAGCGTCCCTGTCCTCACCAGTCTTTCAGCATTCCTGTGCTGCTCTGAGCATCCGTCCTTCTTGGCTTCAGATGATCATTAAAATTAGATGCAACTGACTTAGGAGGGTGAAGGGTCTACAGCTTATCCTCAGCTAACAGGCCTCGCAATAGCCTTCACATCCAATAAGGAGTTTTTACGGAGCATTGCCTTCACATCTTGTGAGCTCTAAAGTGCAGCCATAATCCAGCTAAGTGCACTCTGATACTTTCCTGATGCTCTTCTGCTTGTAATTAATATCCATCGTACACAGGTTGTCATTAGCAATAAATCAAAGGGGCAGGTCCACATCCAGATTTCTGTTCTAAGTATAGGAAATACATGAACCTTTCACCTTCACTTCTTAGCTCATGCTCATTAATTGCCCAGAGATGGACAAAACCAGACGTTTGGCCGGGAGGGAAATCCTTTCCTCAGAACTTTGTATCTTTGGCCAGAATTTGCTTCGTACCCAAGGGACTGTGGAATGATTGCTTTATGTTTCTCCTGGGGCCTAATAGTGGTGACATGGAACATTTTTAATTTCTGCTCTCCCCGCCTCCCCCCAACGGCTTCCCCTCCATGTCACATGGGGAGGATGCCTTTCCCTGCAAGGCTCTCGAGTCAACCAGAAAGTTTTCTGTTTACCCCCTAAGTGCTATGCAAAGTCACCGTCCCAGTGCCAGCGAGGAAGTCAGAGCCCAAACTCGGGAAGAGATTGGTTCCTTTCTTAGTCCTAGAAGTCCAATCTCATTGTCATGGGTTGGCTATAGGCCCTGTAACTAGGAGTGTGGACAATGACCGGAGAAACCAATGTTTTGTCCTGTTTCATTAGTCATTTCCTTATAAGACTGAGTGTGTTTCTAATACTTGAGTCTTGCTGTTTTGTCTCTTCTCTTCTTCTGAATTAATCAGGGCTGCTCTACTACCTTTTAGAATGTAACGATCAGCATCATTATCTTTGAACTATGCTTTATGAATGTAAAAGGTAGATACAGTCCAAGGTAAACTGCATTCTTATCACCTTTGTTTCCGTCTCTACATCTTTCACACTGGAGCTGGGTGAACACACTAGAACTGTAGAACTGTGGCTTTCAGCCCTGGCTGCCCATTAAAATTACCCGAGGAGGCTTAATTACACATACATATGTGCATATATGTATACACACAGGCACGCATGTATATACAGGCACAGGCACACCTGGGCTTTGCCCACAAAAAAAATTTTTTTTTTAATTGCTCAAGAAGAGGACCTAAGCATTCATGCTTTTTGAAAGCACCCAGGTGATGTCAGTGCAATGCACTGCTCTAGAGAAGGTTCTAGTCCAGTGATGGCGAACCTATGACACACGTGTCAGAGGTGACACGCGAACTCATTGTTTTGGTTGATTTTTCTTTGTTAAATGGCATTTAAATATATAAAATAAATATCAAAAATATAAGTCTTTGTTTTACTATGGTTGCAGAGATCAAAAAAATTTCTATATGTGACACGGCACCAGAGTTAAGTTAGGGTTTTTCAAAATGCTGACACGCCGAGCTCAAAAGGTTCGCCATCACTGCTCTAGTCCCGGACGGGGCAGCACAGCACAGTGCGGGAACCTGATTCGGTTGGTCGCCAACGTGAGAAGCTGAGTTCCCACATGTGCTCTGCAGCTGGAGCCCCAAGCATTGTTTTTGAAACATTAAACATTCCTTTTACTTCTCCATCTTCTTTCTTGGCACGTGGCATGTCAGTGCATAGCTCTCCTATTCCCTCGATATGATATTTAACAGATTCTGGGGTCTATCGTAATGAATCAGCCGCAGTGTGATACCGGTCCAGCAGCTTGAATTGCTTCCAACTCAAACTTCTGTGGCCTCAGAATATGATTAATTGCTTTTCATTGTTACTGTTGTTGGTTTAAACAGACCATAAAACCTGACATCTGATCTCATACATCAGATGCATATAAGCTATGACTGCTGATTGGAAATGCCCTTCTACTGCACTTCCTTTCCCTTTGTAGTTGTAGCTGGAGAACATGCATTTCTTGATGTTATTGTTAACTTATTGCTGAGCATCTCTTAAGGCCATAGCTTCAGGAAGTGCCTTCTGCTCTAGGTTCCTGAATCAAGCCACGAATCTCTACAGTACAGCGACGGTGGTGCCCATTAACCATATTTTCTTTACAACCAGTGCCATTATTGCAGGTGAGTTTTGACTTTCTGTACTTAGGCGTTCTACCCCCACAACATGCATATGAGAAAAGCAAGGAATCCTTCGGTTACTAGGATCTGCATAACCCATGTCCTCCCAGCCTCACACAGTGTCTGAGTTTCCTCCATAACCCTTCTAGGACACACTCTTCAACTGTGTGCGAGTGCTCCCCAGGGCCGTCCGCCTCCCGAGACAGCTCAGTCCCGTTTTAAATTACTCTAATTATTTCGAGAGCTCTAATTATTAGAAAGTGTTTCCTTATATTGGACAGAAACTAGCCTCCCTGTGAATTCAAGATGCTCACCTTAATTCTGCTTTCTGGAGTCTTCTCCTTGCCAGCCCTGCTGGTGAGCAGAGCAGGGGAAGGGTCCTCTTGTGTCTTGTCTTTGGGCCAAACACCCTAGGTCCATTCACTTGTCCGTCTCTGGCCTTCACCACCTTGATCAGAGAGTGGGGCCCAAAACAGAACCCAGTGTTCCAGGAAGGCCAAACAGATGAGAACAGAAACCACTGCTTTTGCTGTTCTGGCCTCTGTTTTTCTACTATTGCATTCTTTTATTTTTATGGACAGTTTTTAATGTGTCAGACACAATAGTGTTTTGTTTAAAAAAAAATGACATTTGAACTTGGTTCTGACCCATATATAGTAGATCCAGGTATATCACTCCTACATTTGGTACTGATTTCCCCTTGTTCTTTGGCTTATTGGATAAATTCACCACCGTATCATATTGAGATTTCATTTCCTATTGCAAAATGTCTGTATTTTGGAGGTAGGTAGGGGATTCTCTGTTTCCTAATTGGCTCATCTTTTTTACTTCATGGCAAGCAATGTGACTGCCAGTGGGCAATTTTTAAAAGTAATACATTTTCTGGATTCTCTTTGGCATGTTCAAATTGCCAGCGTCACTTACTCTTGTGCTTTGGGGCCATTATTAAGTAAATTAAGGGTGACTTGAACCCAGGCTCTACACTGCCACATAGTCAACCTGACACCCAAGACGGCTGCTGACTCAGCATGTACAGCATGGATATGCTGGACAGAGGGAGGCCTCATGTCCCGGGGGTGTGGGATTTCGTCATGCAACTCAGGACAGCCTGCAACTTAAAACTTAGGAATTGTTTACTTCTGGAATTTTTCACTTAATATTTTTGACCCCGGGTAACAGAAACCACAGAAGCAAAACCGAGGCTAAAGGGGGCCTCCTCTCTTGACATAATTTGAAAAACAATGTGTAGCTATTGTAAATATTCTTACCCTAAAACGTTGTCTTCTATTCCTGTTATAGGCATCATATTTTATAAGGAATTCCTTGGTGCAGCTTTTCTCGCCATGTTTATATATTTTTTTGGGTGAGTAAATGTCTGAGGTAAGGTATATGAAATGCTATTACTTTTATGTAGGATTGTTGGCATTGTACGTGAGGCATAGAAAACTGGAAAATTATAGAAGAGACAACCGTTTCCTGAGCTCCTAAAGGAAACATTTTTCAATTGAACACCCTACACAAGGCTCAGTGACTTTTGACTTTGTGATTTAGGTATCTGTCCGAGGGTTCTGAAACACTGGGGACTTTCAGTTCCAGCCAAAGTCAAGTTAAATCCGCTGGCTCCCTGTAGCTACTCCATACCTTTTCATACTATAGCAGACCTGTCTCACCCTTGGGGACCCCTAGGTTAGATTTCAATCAGGGAACCGTGGACACCTCTAGGATCACCTAGAATAAAAGACCACGGTGGGGAGATCTAGCTTTGGACCTAATGCCATCAGATTGGTGACATCCCTTTCCTGGGTCTGGGCACCCAGCTTTAACCCTTCATTGCTGGGCATCATTGCCAACATCCTCGCGGAGAACAGGACTTTGACGGAGGATCACCGATGTATAGGATCATCCGTTGATTCCAAATGGCAATCCAATGATGCTTAATGATTCTTTTTTTTCTTTATTAAGGTATTGCATATGTGTCCTTGCCCCCCTACCCCCGCTAATGCCCTCACCCCCCTGGTGTTTGTGTCCATTGGTTATGCTTGTATGCATGCATACAAGTCCTTTGGGTCATCTCTTCCCCTTACCCCTACCTTCCCTCAGGTTTGACAGTCTGACTGATGCTTCTCTGTCTCTGGATCTATTTTTGTTCATCAGTTTATGTTATTATAATCCACAAATGAGTGAGATAATGTGATATTTATCTTTCTCTGACTGATTTATCTCGCTTAGCATAATGCTCTCCAGGTCCATCCATGCTGTTGCGACTGGTAGG